TATAATGTGCGTGTGATTGTGAAAAATAGAAATGTCATCCCCAGGAGAGAGCAAGGCATGGCAGAAACACGTCCCTGTCCCTCTCCTGAGCCCAGCACTACCCTGCTCCCCTGATTCACAGCAGAAACACAACACCAGCGGTCCACGCAGGGGGCAGGGCCTGCGCCTGGCACCCAGCTTCCCTCTGCCAGCAGGGGCCCTGTGCCAAGGAGGAGCTGGCTTCTTGGTGGAGGAGTGGGGAAAGAGCCCAGCACTGGTCCCTTCATGGCCTTCACAAGGGTGGGTTGCTGCAGGCAGGAAAAGGGAGGGAAAGACAGGAAAAGCAAAGTGGAATGGCAGAGGCACCCCATCCCTACTCAACTGGCCAGGGCACTGCCCCTCCTGTGGCACAGGACCACCACCGCTGTACCAAGTAGAAAATAAAGCCATAATGAGTCTATGCTTTGGTATGTAACCATCTCCCTCCCCTCGGTCCCCCGTGTTCCCCCCAAACCATGATCTGTAAAACTCATCAAATAAAATCTCTAGCATGCCTTTATATCGCTCCTTGAACCTTTTCTTCCCCAGCGTCTGCCTTGCCCCTCTCTCCCCAGCAGGATTTGGGGAGGTGTCTTGCTTGAGTCCCACCAGTTACAGCTTCTGCTGTCCCGACTGGATCCTGCTCAATGCTGCCTCGTCCAGCTGCAGGTAGCGGCCTTGCCTGGAGTCCAGGAAGTACAACCTGTCCTTCACCAGCGCGGGGTCAAAGCCCTGCTTCCGCAGCTCCATCTTCTGGAACTTGTAAGTGCCTGGAATGGGAAGAGAAGGAGGAATGAGGGGTCACCGGCTGCACACGCTCCCACTCCCACTGCACACGTGCTGCCCCAGACCTAGCCTTGCACCCTAAACCACCAGAGGAACTGGCTAGGGGCTCCACGGAGCAGAGATGCTCCATGGGGCAGAGAGGCTCCATCCTGACCCTACTGCAGATCAGCCTCCGTTACCAGGTTTCTCCCCACCAGGCTCCTCCTCAGCTCTGTGCCCAGTGCAAGTGCACATGAAGCGGCTCACTTGTCTTGGAGACTTCATGCAGGAACCGCAGGAACACAGGCCGTGCGTACAGCGGAAGGGCCTTTTTCAGCTCGCTAGCAAAGCCTTCCAAGTCACAGGAGTTCTCCGGGTCAACAATGGCTGCCATTCCTGCCTTCCCTTCAATCCCTAAGAGGCAGAGAAGAAGGGAAAGCACTCAGACACACTGTCCGTATAGCATCATCTCCCTCTGCCCCGCACTAGCAAGGCCTCTGGCACAGATACCACTTTGTACTGAAGCGCTGGTGCATCCAGCTGTGTCACCACCCTGCAGCTAAGGCTACCAGCGACACCCTGCGGTCACGGTCACCTCCTCCCAGACGAGGCACTTGCAGCCTGTCCAGAAAGAACGCAGGGTCCTTCCAAACCAGACCAAAGCTTGAGAGAGGGAAGGAACCTTCTGGTTCCTGCTAGGCACATGTCTGGTGGCCTCTTCCCAGCAAGCCCACGGGAAGCCTTGTTCCAGCCTCTTGCAAAAGGACACGTCAATCTGGACATGCAGGACATGGTCACATTCAAGTGCCAGAGGCCCGCCTGCCTCCCCTGATTATCCTCTTCCCTCTCAGCTACCTGGGATCTCCACCCCATAAACTACCACGTCCGTTAGGTTGAGGATGCGGCTCAGCGTCCCCTCCACCTCTGTGGTGGAAACGTTCTCCCCTTTCCAGCGAAACGTGTCCCCAGTGCGGTCCCGGAAGTACATGTAGCCATATTTGTCCATCACCAGGACATCCCCTACAGGAAAGTGAGAAATAGGCAAAAATTGAGGTGTCAGAGGGGTTAGAAGCAACCCTGGAGCATCTCAGGACAGTGCCATTAGCCTGGGACAGCCCCCACGCCCATCCAGGAACCCTTCTCCTCCACTCTCAGTGGACAGAAGGGCCCTGTTTGCCTCACCTGTGAGATAGGCAGCATCCCCTTTTGTAAACACGTCCTTGGCAATTTTCTTGTTTGTGGCTGACTGATTCAGGTAGCCATCAAAGTGCTGCAAGGGGTTGCTCTTGACAATGCGGCCCACCAGCTGCCCCGGCTCCCCTGCATGGAGAAAAAGGGGTGAAGAAGGGAAGCAACCACCCGCACCCAAGAAAAAATGGTGTCTAGTGAGGTTGGTGGGGTTTAACTGAGCAGACTCAAACCTAGGTAAATTCTTGAAGTACATCAGTAAAGATTCACACAGGGTCGAGGAGACTTATCCCTGTGGTTGCCCTCACCTGGTTTGCAGCGGATACAGACACCATCCGGCCCCCGGATCAGGTCCATGGTGTCTTCATCCACCCGTACCAAGGCGATAGGGTACACACCTGGTAGGATCCTGCTGTTGAAGCCACATGACCCAACCTAGGACAGAAAAAGCTGAGAGCCAAGGGTAGCAGGGACATCTCTCCTACCCCAAGCCTGCTGCCCATGCACATCCAGGATACCAGAGAGCTGGCACAGCACAACAACAGCCAAAATCCCTCCAGGTGGATGACAACCCATGCCAAGCCTCTTGGAGCAAGAAATCAGGAGCAAACAGCCTGACTGGGTTTCCAACCCTGCCCAGGCCAGTAGTCCCTCTGGGACATGGGGGGATTGTGGAGCCTTACATTGTTGTCGAAATTTCCCAGGCTGCAGTTGCACTCGGTGGCCCCGTAGAACTCAGCCACCTGGGCGATGCCAAAGCGGGCCATGAACTCCTGCCAGATGGAGGCACGCAGCCCGTTGCCCAGCGCCATGCGCACCCGGTGCTGCCGCTCCACCTCCTGGTATGGCTGGGGGGGGCGGGAGTGGCTGGTGCAGCAGGTAGCGGCAGATCTCCCCGATGTACTGCACAATCTGGGAGGGATGGAGAGGAAAGATTCACTGGAACCCCTCCGCCAAGCCCCAGGGTGTTTGGGGTTTCTTCAGGGCAGGTAGGAATGGCACAACACACCCAAAGTCCCCTAAAGAGGCTGCAGTAAAACCCAGGACCTAGCTTGTCCAGTGCCTATCCCTCCCCGGTTAACCCACTCCTCCAGTCTGTGAAACCTATCCGAGACCTCCTGGCTAATGCTGGAGCATGGGAAGGGTTTGGACATGTGGAGTCACCACCCCGGGTGGGAAGGACACAGCCCCACCACCTTGGAAGGTGGTTTGGGATGGACAGGCAAAACCAGTCCAGGCCTCCCTCTCTTCCAGTGGCTGAGGTCTCCTCAGCACGGCACAGATCCCCAGGTTCCGCTCCCCAGCCCTGGCTGGCCCATTGCCTCATGGCCTCACCGTGCAGTTGTATTTCACGCAGTCCTCCCAAAAGTGCGAGGCTGAGAACTTCTTGCGGATGATAATCGTCATGCCCTGCAGCAGGCACTGCCCGACCCCCACGATGTTCCCTGCGGAGAGGCAGTCAGGGGAGCCCTCAATCCCCAGACACCCCACACCAGGGCCAGGGCAAGTTGGAGGTCACATGCTGGCTCACCACAGATGGGTGTTCACCTAGCCAAAGCCCCCAGGACCGCAGGCACTGGGGAGGAGATGCATGGCAGCAAGATCTGGGGCAGCACTTTGCACCTAGATGTCCCAGCATGTCTCAGCCAGCCAGGCAGGCACCGCTTCCCCTTCCCCCTGACTTTCCACATGGAGCACCAATAAGGTGCAGCTATTCCAAAGCCAGGCTAGGAGCTGGGATAACCCACACACTCCCCACTCCAAAGGTCAGCCAGATCGATTCTTGGCTCCCAGAGAAAAAGTGGAAAGTCTCAGTCAGACACTGCCAGCAGCAGCCAGCTCCTCCTCAACATGGAGACTGCTGCTACATCAGCCTCCAGCCACATCAGCCTCCAGCCTGGGCTTGGCTGAGGGGAAGAGATAGTCCTGGCATGCAGGGCTCCGTATGGCACACGTTACCTGCAGCATGGTAGAGCGGGAGGCAGTCGTACATCACATCGTCGGGCCTCATGCGGAAACCGTAAAAAACTAAGCTGGACATGCGGAAGTACCTGGGGCAAAAGGGTGAAGGGACACGTCAGCAGCAGGGCCAGAGACACTGTGCTAGGACAGGGCAGAACTCAGCCCCGTCCTCCCCAAGCCCCTGCCTGCGGCCTTACCGGCAGTTCACCACAATGGCAGCCTTGGGCAGCCCTGTTGTGCCAGAGGTGTAGATGTAGAAGAGTTTATCTGGAGAGCAATGAGGACACAAGGTCACATACCCAGTTTAGGAGCTGGCTGAACCAGGAGAGGGGGATAAGTCAAATTTATACACTCTGCTCGTGCCAGCGGAGCCAAAACTTTATGCGACAGCACCAAGAACGTGCTGGGTTCATCCCTGGCAGATCAGGTCTGTTGGACACATGGAGGGCACCGCAAAATACTGCTCCACACAGTATTCACGTAGCTTCAGACACCAGAGTAAGACCCATCCCAAACACCCCAGGCCTTGCTACAGATGTTTGCCATCGGCACTCTGAGCAGATGTTCTTGCCAGTGTTGTAACCGGCTGATCCACAGAAATACCACCGTGAGTTTTGGTCCCAAGAGCTGACCACGTACCAAGAAAGCCCTTATCAGGGGGGGTTGGCTGGTGCCGCTGGGCTGTCTGCAGGAGGGGGTCCAGGTGTTTTGCACCAGGAAGTGCGGACTCAGAGCTTGCTTCCCCAGACCAGAACAGATGGATAGATTTCTCCAGGGAGGGCTGCACTTCTTGCATTGCTGAGAAAGTAAAGAGGGGAGATGGGGAAAGACTCAGGGTCGTTACAGCACAAAGACCTCCTGCCCTCCCAGACACTCCTCAGGGAGACACTGCCCCAGGTAGCAGTACCCCCGCTGTGCTCGGCAAAGTCCCGGAAGGGCTGACAGCCATCCCAGGAGGATGTCGTTCCCATGATTAACAGTTGCTGGGGCCACAGCCCAGGCCTCTTCACGGACTAGAAGATCCTGTTCTCCACCTCTCCCCAGCCAAAACCTCTTTGGTGCCAAGAGGTCTGTTGACAGTATCAACCTCAGAGGTGTGGGCTGAAACACACGAGGAGCTGGAGCTGAGGTGCTGCAGGGATGTGGCTAAAAGCCACAGAGAGCAAGGGGAGGCTTGTCCCGTGCAGTGGGGCAGGCCTAGCCCAGCCCAGGACTTCATGCAGGGGATGGACCCAAGAGGCATAAGGATCCTCACACCCAGACTGTTTGGGAGCCAGACAGCACTGAACTCCAGATCCTGCCCAGTGTCCAAAGGCAGCAACAGAAAAAAAAAAAAAAAAAGAAAAAAGATCCAATTCCTGGATAATTTAACTGTCCACTCTCTTCTGGATCCCTGCTCTGTGGTGGGCAGGAAAGGAACACTAAATCCATAGACTAGACACACCCCTGACACATGCCCCTCACCTTCCATCATCTCCACCCCAAAAACCACAGCCTTGGAGTTGGAGATGGTGATACAGTGCAGCAAGGCCTCCATGCGCAGGTGGGAATTCACAAGGGCGGTCTCCACCCCAATCTTGGCCAAGCCGAGCCACAGCCCCACGTACTGATTGCGGGACTCCATGAAAAGAGCCACCACGTCACCAGAGCGGAAGCCTTGGCTGTAGAAGAAATTGGCCACTTGGTTGGAGTACTCATCCAGCTGCCGGAAGGTCCAGCTCTCGCCCGTGCCTTGGAAGATTAGTGCTGTCTTCTCTGGATACTTGCTTGCGGTCTTCTGGAAGATCTTGGCAATTGTGTTCTTCTCCCTCACGTGCCTCCATACTTGCCACTTCACCCGCAAGAGGACCAGCCCCGTGCTGCCAAAGGAAGGGGAGCAAGAGGGCAGCTGCTCAGTGACCCCTGCAAAACCACTTCTTCCAGCAAAGCCAGCACAGCACGAGGACCTTTCTAGGATCTGTAACAGCCCATCACTGCTCCAGGCCCTACTCTAGGTCAGCAGCAGCTCTGGGTGCTTCCCTGAGCAGTGCGGACATAGGCAGAGCTCATCTGCAAAGATGCTTATAGCCAGGAACTGATGGAGGCCAGGGAGAAATACGTTTTGGAAGGCTGCAGACAGGGATGTCCCAGATCAAAGGGGCATCTTTGAGCCTCAGGTGCTCTCCAAGAGATGCCACCACTCCCTCCCCACAAATTCTTGCCAGGAGCTGGCACAGCCTGGTACCAGTTCAGAATCGACCCTGCACAGGCACCTGGTGCCATGCCAGCAGCTCTAGGGACAGGGTGAAGTACAAGGACGGCCACTAGACTTCAGAGCTCAGCTGAAATCTATCTTTCCTGCGAAAACTTTGCCCGAGAGTTTGGAGCCAACCGGGCGTGGCAGAGGGAAATCTCCTTCCACTTGGGCCGGGCACCAGCAGAAACCCAGGGCTGTGCAAGGGAGCTGGGGGCTGTGCTCACACATACACTAGGGCAGAGCAGTGGGCCAGGGGGAAGGGGGGATGGTTGAGCCATCCCAGCCAAGACACCTACGTGACGTCCCTTCGTATTGTCTTGATGAATATGAGGAAGAAGTCCCATCCACCAGATCCCAGGTAGAAGATGAAGAGAGCAGGGATGGCCTGGGCCCAGGACAGCTCCAGACTGATCCTGAAGAACAGCAGCAGTGCTGCAAAAGCAGCCAGACGCAGCATCATGGCCTGGGGAGAGAGAAACCACGGCCATCAACCCACGCACACTGGACTTGGCGATAATGAATCCATGGGCGGGGGATGCGTTAGTAGTCCCCAATTTCCTGGATGAGGTCTCTGAGTCATTGCTCCTCCCGGCAGCAAGGACTTAACCTAGCAGCCCAGAGCTCCCACAGACCGGACCTTGGAGATGGCCTCCAATTAAGCCACCAGCATGGCACTGCTTAGTGCCAACTGAGAGCAAGGCCATTCCTACCTGGGGAGCCACATCCTGCACACCAGCCAGGGGCATGGCCATACCCCAGCAGCGTGAGATGCTGGATAAAGTCACTTCACGAATGTGGGAGCAGAGTCAAGGCAGGAGACCTTGTACAGATATTTCGCAGGCACCAGGGTGATGCCAGGCAGTGCTGCCTCAGCCCCTCACCCATCTCCAAATTCCTCCCTACCCCAAGGATCCTTCTGTCCCCATAACCCAGGTGTCCCTGTTACCCAGCACCAGCTCTCCTGCATGCCTGACTTTGGGGTGGCTAGCATGACTAGTGGGAGAGCACAGCTTCACATGCTCCCCGACACAGCTCAGACAGGAACAGGGACAGGAAACTCAGTCCTTTGAGCTCTGCTCGTGTTTGCAAACCTTCGTGTCAGCGGGCAGTTTCCTGGCCTGGCTCTGCTGGAGACACTGCCAGAGCTGGTCAGGGACAAGGCCAGGCACAGGCATGCCCTGGCCAGGCTGGAGTGGGCAGAACAAGGGCTGTCACTGCTGCCAGGAGTGCCCGGACTCCCGCCCCATGCCCTGTAGATGACAACTCAGTCTCTGGTACTTGTCCCCCAAAACCAGCACGTTTGTCCCCATTCCAAACACACCCTAGGTGTGACTCCAAGACTCACACGGGCCTGCAATCTAGCAAAGGCTCTTTTCAGGTGGCAGCATTGGGCATAGGAAAGTGACATCGATGTGACCCCCGCAGCTCAAGGGCTCCTAGACAAAACTGGTCCTTCCTGGCATGGACGCAGGCCAAAGAGGAAGGAAACATTCATGTCATTTCCCTTTCCGTCTTGAAGGTGAATTCACTGCTCTGAAGCTGGTAGCCCTGGGTGGGCTCTGCCACAACCAGTGGGGCTGGGAGCCACACTTGCAGCTTTCCCTCTGCTCCATGCAGCTCCCCCCAGGTCTGGGGTCCCTCCGTGGATTTGGTAGGAGATGCTAGCAGGCTGTGAGCCAAGACAGCACCACGTGGTCGCTGTGCCCTGGCATGTCACACAGGCTGTCTCACCTCTTAGCTGTGCCACCAGCAGCAGGCAGGAATACTGCTCCTGGGAGGGGGCCTGGGGACATCCCCCCCTCCACAACCTCTGCCCAGAGATCCCCACTTGTGCTAATGGCATCTGAGCTCTCTCCACAGAACACCTCCCAGGCCTGAGGTCCCGCAACACAGTCCCTCAGCCTTTTAGCAGGGCAGGACCCACTGCATTTTGCCTAGGAGCCTCTCTCTGCAGTTAAACAAGCAACTCTTAGATCACCATCAAACTACTATGCCTCAGCCAAGACCTGGGCCCTTCATTACACGCTCTCATCAAACAGACAGACATGCAGAGCCAGTGGTGGGAGAGCCACACTCTGTGTGGGCAGCAAGGCACTTAATCTCCCACTTGAAGGCAAGACGGGCCCAGACAGGCCTCTGTTATCCTCTGCTCACATCTCTGCCTCACACCAGCATGCCCGGTGCCTCCCGCTGAGAGATAACCAAATGATAACCAGTGCACTACTGCCAGAGACCTCCAGCCCTGCTGTTAAGGATTCAGGTCTTGTCTAGCTGCATCAGCACAGAGAAAATTAAGACCTGCCTGTAACTCCACAGCCAGCGGGTACGAAGGCAAACCACAGGGATCCATGACCCAGGGGCACAAGAGACCCGAGAAGAGCTGGGGAAAGGGACCAGCCTGGGAAGCAGGTTACAGGGGAGATGACAAGCAGGTGACCAGGCTCCATGAAGCCCCAGCACTAATGGTAAAGCTCCAGGGGCCAGGAGATCTCCAAAGGCATCTCCCCAGCACGAGCAGCTGGGGAGGCACCGGTCCCTCCCACCCGGGTCTGGGCAGGGTGATGGGGATGAGCCCACCGGCCCTGGAGAAGGATGAGGGGGGTGAAATGGGGAGTCAGCATCCCCCTGTTTCACCCACCCCATCCTTCCCTGGGGCCGCTGGATTCATCTCCTGCAGGAAGGGCAAGCAGCACAGCCCCAGCCCCATCTGAAGGGGCAGAAGGACCGGGAGACCCATCACGGCCTCACACCGGAGCTGCAGCCGGGACCCTCCTCCCTTAACCCCGGCCAGGCCCGGGAACCGCCCGGGAAGAGCCG